CAGTCTTAGAGTCCAGATTGACCCACTCAAAACACACACACACACACTCAACACACACACACACACACACACACACACACACCCCAGGCTGAAATATTGTGACCCTCCAAGGGTCAGAATCTGATTTTATAAGAACTCGTTAGTAAATAAAAACTGGTTTTTAAAACTAAATATATATCTACATCTAGAAATTGCCTCTGTTTGTGTTGTCTCCTTTTTCTGCAGATGTTCTAGTAGGCAAAAATCATCAGCTATGGAGACTTACTCCTTTTCTGATATTCAAAGTGTTTACATTTCATTCTGCTCTCCACCAGCAGAAAGCAAGGGAGTTTTGTCCCATTAACAGTTCTTCTTTACAGCTTTCCTGATTGGGATGATTATCCTTCTAGCAGTTATGAAATTACAAGCATATAACATTTACATCAGTTTCATCATACATCCAGATGCAATGCCCACAAAATACAAAATGATTTTGTGAAAATTTCCTTTTTCTTTATAATAATTATACATTTACTTAAACTCCTAGCAGTAAATTTCTCATTTATAGGTTCACATTACAGCTGTGGGGGTGGGGGTGGGAGGATTGGTGTAGATCTTCGATAGAATGCAAGGGTGATGGGGTTGGTGCAGTAGCAGCTAGGCTTAAGAAACTTTTTCCTTTTGAGTTTATCTAAAGCTTTACTCTAGCCTTGAGAGTTGATTTAACCTTTATCCCTGGCACTTGGAGGAGAAAACAGTGTAAACTTTTAACATTTTTTGCCCACTCAGTGCTCACTTTTAGTAATGTTTGGGCTCTTTCTCCTCTCAGGAAAGAGCAAAAACAAAAGACATCACCTTGGATGTATCCCCAAACCCCCAACTTTAGCCAAAATTGCCAAAGCAGCCAGGGGATCAACAGTGAACTCTCCTAGCATTGGATCTATCATTCTCAAATTACACTGGCAACTTTGATCCCTCATAGTAAAAAGCAGCTCACGTACTGTTTCATATTATGAGCTGCCCAGGCATCAAATGTTTGTGATACTCTACCTCTTCATCCTTTCTTTTCGCAGACAATGCATTTGCCATATATTAGTGAGATGGTTTGGTAAATCCCACTTCTGACACCATTTTTTTTTTCAGGGGCCTTCAAGACCACTGTCAGGTTCAGTGATTCCCTTAGTGAACTCACAGGACTCAGCATATAGTTCAAAGTTAAAATTACAGGTTAAATTACAAAGTTAAAAGATTTGAAGCAAAATCGGCAAGGGGAAAAGGCTCATGGAATGAAGCCCAGATGAAACCAGGCACAAGCTTCCAAGGGTCTTCTTCCCATGGAATCACACAATATGTATGCAATTTATGTAATTTCTCCAGTATTGAATTATAACAATGCATATAAAATGTTACCTGCCAGAAATGCTCTTTAGAGACTCCATGTCCAAGGTTTTGATTGACAGCTGGTCGCATAGGTACATTTTGACTAGCATGTACCAAAATTCCAGAGTTTCTGAAGAAAAGCAGGTGATTAGCATATGCCACATTATTTGTACAAATAATTTTGGTACTCTGAAGGACTCCTATCAGTTAGGATGGTGGGAACCCTCCTGAAATCTGAGTTCCCAGACATCAGCCATGGATCAACCTTGCAAGAGGCTTTTCTAAGGATAGCCATCTGAAGCCTGCTATGCTAACTCTTTTCCACATAGTAAAGTAGAACATCCTCAGACAAATGGGGCTGAAATTATAACATCGAATAAACTTAGTTTAACTTAATAAATTCATTTAGGTTCAGCAGGACAACGAAGAAGAAAAAGGAGAGCTCCTAGAAGTGAAATAGCTTTATACTCTGACACAAAATACCACCTCTAGATTTTCCCCTGTAGTAATAATAATGGGTGATAAAGAGTACCTAATGGTGGAGGGCACAGTGAAATTAGGAGGACTTATTGACTTTGAAACAGTGGGTGGTGGAGTGGATTCTTTTCCAGTGAATATAAACAGTTTTATACTGTAGCAGCTTGTAGTTGTTCTTTGTAGTTAGTTTGAGAAAGAGAATTGTTGTCTTTTAATCTTATATGTAAACTTGTGCTAATTTTATATGTACATAATTATTAAAGATATATTCGGGAAAAATCAGTTCCCCAAAATGTAAACATATAATTCACTTTTTAAAAATTTCAGGCATTTAACACTGCTTAAAAACAGTAAAAATTATTTCCTTTTAAAACAATATTTGACTATAGATTTCTAAACTTTCATACATAGTATATAATTTTTATCTTTTTAATTGAAAATGTGATTGATTTAAGGTATGAGGCTTCAGTTGAGGCTAAAAGTTCACCTTTCGGGACATAAGTAATTTTTTTTCTTTCTCTCTTTCTTTCTTTCTTTCTTTCTTTCTTTCTTTCTTTCTTTCTTTCT